AAAATGTTGGTTAGGATGTGGAGAAATTGGAATTCTTATATATTGCTGGTGGGAATGTAAAATGGTATAGGTGCTGCTGACAACAGTTTGATGGTTCCTTAAAAACTAAAGCACAGAATTACCATAATTCCATTTCTAGGTGAAGTGAAAACAGGTATTGAAACAAAAATTTATACACAAATATGTGGAGTATATATAAAGCAAAATATATTGCACAGGGCCTAGTTTCTTGTAATTTCAGATTTAGCCTAACTTCTTAAAAGTACATATAGAGGGTTCCAGTCAAGATGACAGAATAAACGGTTCCCAGCATCACTCTCTCCCACAAATCAACCAATTTACAATGTAACATCAGCCAAGCTGGGGCCGCTGGAGCTCAGGGGAAGAGGAGGAGAGACCTATGGAGTTCCTGAAGGTGGGAGAAACCAGGATGAGAGAAAGAAAAAGCTGCTCGGAGAGTTTCGGGCCACAGCTGCTTTAAGCCTCGAGCTGATGAATGCATGGAGCAGGAGCCAGCAGAAGCCCCAGCTGTGCCCTTCAGATGGAGTTACTTGGAGGCAGCAGGAGAGAAGAGGGCCTTGGTGGCCCCAAGGACAGCAAGACCACTAATAGGGTTCCCATGGACCCACGCAGGAGCAAGGAGCCAGAACACCTGAAAAAAAGAAACCATTCAGAGACGGGTGAGTCATTGCAAGGGACCAGCGCAGGCCCCATCCCATGGGAAGTGTTTGGAGCATGGGAAGTGGGCAAGACGGGAACACCAGGAGAACACTGGGACACAGCAAGGACAGATGACCTGCCCCCCAATCAACACAGGACCACTCAGAGGAGAATGGGGTGCAGTTTGATGAAAAAACTCAGGCCCAGATCAGAGATTCTACAGAACACAGATCCACTGGGTCTCTGGAGAGCCGGAAGTACCTATAAGATCAACCATTAAACCCTGAGATGCACAAAAAGCCTTCCCTAGGGAAACAGCAGCAAAGCAGCAATTTATTTATTTTTATTTTTTTCCTTTTTTGTCTTTTTTCGTGTCCGGCAACGGATCGCAACCCTCAGTGTCACGCCCGNACCTGCAGAATGAGAAAAAATATTTGCAAATAGTATATCTAATAAGGGTCTAGTATGCAGAATATATAAAGTCCTCTTATGACAACAAGACAACCCAATTTAAAAACTGGCAAAGCACTTTTAGTAGACATTTCTCCAAACACGATATACAAATGGCCAATAAACACATGAAAATGTGCTCAACAACATTAGTCGTTAAGAAAATGCAAATCGAAACTACAATGAGATACCACTTCACACACACTAGAATGGCTACAATAAACAAACAAACAAACAAACAAACAAAACCCCAGAAAATAAAAAATGTTGGTTAGGATGTGGAGAAATTGGAATTCTTATATATTGCTGGTGGGAATGTAAANCTCCCAAGCGGCGCACTATAGCAGTGCGCCACTGGGCCAGCCCAAAGCAGCAATTTAAACAACCACACACTCAAGTACTGGTTCCCACAGGAAGTTCCCCCATGTTAGAAACAAGCAAAGGACAAAAAATTAGTTCCAGCCCAGGCACACCACCAGCACCTTAGGACCTGCCTGGAAACTGGCGGCTTGGATACAGGGACCAGAACCCACTCCCACTTCCAGGCAAACTGTGCAAGCACCTCAGGGCCACCACAGGGACCCGAGGCACAGAGAAGGGGACTGGACCCCCCGCCCACAACCAGGCACACCATGCCAGCACCGTGGGGCCCACCCAGTGACCTGAGGCACGGAGAAGGGGACCAGACCTCTCTCCCACAACCAGGCACACCATGCCAGTGCCTTGAGGCCCACCCAGTGACCCAGGGAATGGAGAAGGGGATCGGACCTCTCTCCCACAACCAGGCACACTGTGCCAGTGCCTCGGGACCCACCCAGGGACCTGAGACATGGAGAAGGGGACCGGACCTCTCTCCTACAACCAGGCATACTGCCAGTGCCAAGGAGCATACCAAAAACAGCACCTCCATGTGGGTGGCCCACCACAGCCTCCACAGTAACCATGGCTGCTGCAAAAGCGACTAGACACCACAACCACCATGCAAATGGTCTGCCAACCACTGGAGTGCATTCACACAAGGAGAGTCACCAGCAGAGACAAAGAAAAGAAGAGGATGTCTCTTCGCACAAAGCCTGTTTCAGAGTGACAAAAGCAGCATCTGCTCTATGATAATATTGGGGGACCCAATCACATCTCTCAGCATTGGACAGATCATCTAGGCAACAAATTAACAGAGTAACCATTATCCTTCAGAAGGAGAGAAGAAATCTAGGGTAATTAGAGGGGGGAGGGGGAGAGATTGGACAAGGGGCATGAAGAATAATTACAATTTATAACTATATATATGCTAGTAATATTGATTTGATCAACATATCTCAGTGTTCAACCCCCAAAATATGTATAATCGATTTTGACTCAATAAATAAAATAAATTTTTTTTAAAAAGTACATATAAAATGTTGACCTTGCAAAAGACAGGAAATTTTCCCCAGGCTAGTCTCTATTGTAAGATAAAGAATTGTAGCACAGCAAGGTTGCTGGTTCAAAGACAGACAGGTTACCGATTGATATGTAAAGATATTGGGAAATTGCTGTAAGGAGAGAGAATGTTTGCTAAAATCAAGCTTTTGTTGGTGGATCACTTAACTTCTTGCAAATTGCATTATGAAATGTCACCAGCTTCTATTGTCAAACTTGTTAAACTGTACTTAGCAAAAGCCCCACCTATGTTCTCTTCCTGTAACTTCCTGGTCTAGAGAATAAACGCGGGAAGAGGACCCCAATTTGGGGTTAATTTCCAAAATGGAAGGAATGCCTCTCTCTTGAGGGTTCTGGGAGATTAACCCCTTTGGGGCTTCTCACTACTTAGAAGAGATGGGCTTTGAGTAATCCTTGGTGGCTCCGTCACCCAGGGAAAAGGGGTGACAAATCCGTGGGAGGCAAAGCAACATGAATATTCATAGCAACATTACTAATAATAGCCAAAAAGTAGAAACAACCTAAATGTCCATCAACTAATGAATGGATAAACAAATGTCATATAGTCATACAATGGAATGCTATTCAGCCATAAAAAGGGATGAATACTTAAACATGCTAGTTCATGGATGAACTCTGAAAACATTATGTTAAGTGAAAGAAACTAGACAGAAAAGGCCATATATCATATGACTCCATTTACAAAAATCGTTCAGAATAGGCAAATTTATATAAACAGAAAGCAGAGTAGTGACTACCATGAACTGGAAAGAGGGGAAAATGGGGAGTTAGCAGTTAATGGGTACATGCTTTCTTTTTGGTCTGATGAAAATATCCTGGAATTAGATAGTGGTGGTGTACAACATTGTACAACATTGTAAATGTACTAAAAGCCACTGAACTGTACACTTGAAAATGGTTAAAATGATGAATTTTATGTTATGTAAATTTTATCTCAACAAGAACAACAAACGTGTGTGTATGATGCAATTGTTTCTGAAAAATTAAAAAAAAAAAAAAACCCCCAAAATTTGTGTATACACTTAAGTGTTTATATCATATAAACACTTTATTCAAGTGTAAAGTCATATAAAATGGTCAGGAAGAACATACAGCAAACTATCAGACAGCAAACTATGAGTGACAGATATCTACAGGGAGAAACTGGAAAAGTGAATTGGAAACAGTAGAGTCTTCATTTTTTATTCTATAAACTTCTTCATGACCTGAATTTTAAAAAAAATTAGCATTGACTCATACTTTCATTACTTTTACAATTGCAAAAAAAAAAAAAGTAAAATAAAATAGTGAAAAAGAAACTCAAGAGAACAATTTTGATCAGAAAGTCATTAATAAGCATGGGAGTTAAAAAGCATTGATCTTCTGAGTTAGGTTGTAAAATCTTTTCTTATACATTTTAAACAACCTTTGAATTTATCTGCCCAAAATAGCATAGGTATAGTTAGAGTTCGATCAGGAGTCTACTGATAAAGAGTAACAACTTAATTTGTGAACACCATAAAGAGCCTTTAACATCAAAATATTTATGTTTCCTTTTAGGGGTACATACCTGTCTGGCTGATCCACTAGCCTGCCTTACTTTTTCTGCTACTCCTCCTAAAAGTTGTACAAGTTTCGCCTGCTTTAAAAGTTCTTCTCTGAGTCCTTTTCCTCCTACTGAAAGGAGAGCACCCAAAACATGTTCATATCGTGTACCAAACTGTGCATCATGTAGGGCGTCCTTGAGGAGCCTAATATAGCAAAATATTTATGTCAGCCACTCCTGAGAACTGGATGAACTTCCCCCCAAAATAAATTTAACAAGTTCAATTTATGGTATCTAAGAACTTATTTTAAGCTATATAAGCAAGTAAAAACTCATTCATTATAGAGCTATAATATGTCAAATGTTTTGCAATAGAGGGCTTCATTATTTCTAAAGACATAAAACTTTAGCTTCTTTAAAATAATGCTTTCAATTAAACATCTGGTATCAACATTAAGTAGTCTGGGCATAGCATTTAGACATATATGATTAGACTTATGTCATCTCTATAAAATACTAGAAATAAAAAATCAGGTTCTTTATAAAATTTAAATCTTACCAATATAAATTGTGTGCTATCCGGATATTTCCCAATGCTCTGGACAGAAGGAAGCACACTAATGAACTATTCAAGTAAATTTCATATTTCAAAGCCTACATGTAAAAGAAAATAAGCATTACTAGAGGTTAATCCCATACTAAATTGTTTGGATAAAATTATCAAAAAAAAAAAAAAAACTACATAAAGCAAGTAGTACCCTTATTCATGAAAGATGATACTCATAAAAATGAAACTGATGAATTAACTTAGACCAAATTACTGAAATCAGGTACAAAAGTAAGACTCAGGAATAACATTCATTAGCTATGTTTAGCTGACCAGTAAAGAAAAATCAAGGAAAAGCTCAAATGTGGTTTATTCTGAGACTCTAACAAGTCTGACAATTAAAAATCAAGGTAAATATATACAATATTCAAGTGGGGCAGATGACAATAGTGGAGAAAAAAAAAATCACACTGAATCCACAGGATATGTTCCTTAACACTCCTATGCTACAAAACTACTTTTTTTTTTTTTTTTTTTTTTAAACTCAGAAGTCTTTTATTGGATTACTTTATAAAATTTCTTTCACAAAGTAACGCTTAACTTTCTGGTCTCTTGTGGTCTTGGATCTCACACAAAGGAAGATTAAGGGCTAACAGTAACTTTATAAGAAGGAATATAAGGGGAGGAGACAGTGAGAGAATCTGAATTTATGTCTCCATTTGGGATACAAAGAGAAAATATAGGCCTAAAGGATCCTTGGAAGGTGAGATAAGAGAAATTATAAATGAGGGATCTCTCTGGCACATTGTAGAATGATATCTGCCACACTCATAATCTAGGAAATCTCCAACTTTGTGCATTTGCTCTCTCAGGGAGACCCTTTTTTTTTTCCCTTTTTGTCTTTTTTACTGACCGGCAACGGGATCGCAACCCTCGGTGTTGCGCCCGTACCGCGCTCAGCCAGTGAGCGGGAACCGGTCTCCACATGGGATCCGAACCCTCGGCGGGAGCGCCGCCACACTCCCAAGCGGCGCACTCTCCAGTGCGCCACCGGGCCGGCCCAGGGAGACCCTTTTTAAAGGTGGAAAGATCCACAAGGTACAGTCAGTTCCCATCATGGATCCCATGAGAAAGATTTTGTCTCCAGAAGCGTTGAGCATGTTGCCTTTTCTATTTGCAGAGTCTTGGTATATGCCCACTTGCCATTTTCTCGCCTTTTCCACATCCACCTCCCAATAGAGCCTTCCTCAGGTGAAGCTTTCCATACCCAACACAGTGGCACTGCAGTCAAATCTGCCTGGGTGGCCAGGCACATCCTGATGGATATTTCCAAATCTCGTACTTCTCAGGTCCTCAGACAAGACCAGGCAGGGATGAGCCATTTCAGGATCCAAAGTTATATTTCTTTGGAAAACTCCTAGCGTTTTGCTCATTCCTCTTATTTGGCATAAACTCAGGTCTGTGATACGAGCTGTCCTTAGACACCAAAGGAGTAGTGACTCACTCCTTTCAAAAGAATGTCTTGCATTCTGGAGCAGTGCTAAGGCACATTCCCCACACTTCTTCTCAAGCTCTGTGGTGAACCTTTGGAGGCTGCCAATCCATTCAGAAACCCTGACTTCACTCTCCTTCAGTTTCTTCATGTTCTCTCTCTCCAAATCATTCAGTCTCTGTAGCATTTCCTGGGACTTCTCCTCACTTCAGCTCTGTGGCAAACCTGTCCAGTTGATTCAGACTGGCTTCTCTCAAGTTCAAGTCAAATAGGCAACCTTCCAGTCTCTGGATGTTCAGCTCATTCTCTTCATTCACCAACCAGAATCTTATCCTATATTCAGACTCAATCAGCTCTTTAAAATTCTGCTCTTTCTCCTGGATCATCATCATTCTTTCCTGCTCATCAGCCAATATGCTTTTAGCTACTTCAAGTTTTTCCTCAATATGCTCAGTATTTTCTGGAATAACTTTCTGTAATTCTCAGTAGCCTCTTGTATCCCATACACCATGTGATGCTTGTGCTTGTGGGACTGGAAGCATTTGCTGCAAAGTGTGATCTGCTCCTCATCACAGAACAGCTGTGCTGGTTCCAAGTGTATATCACAATAGGTATCTTTGGTGATGTCGTGCTGGAACCAGGGGCTGAGTCTTTTGGACATCGTGGTTGGTGTTCCTTGTTAAAGACTGGACTGTTTGTTTCTGATGTGAAATACTTACTTGCACTCTGAATGGGAAAAGACTGGCAGGCTTCTTCCATGTTCTGGAGCAGGCACACTTGGCAACTTCAGGGTCCACAGTCAGGCATCAAATATCAAACGAAAATAGTCCATGCACACACAGCAGGTCAGCATATCCTGGACTACTCAAATCCAACAAATGTTTGGCAGCCAGCCACATGCTATACTTTCTTTGTAGTCCTGGGTATTTCCTTTAAGGAAAACAGCTGGAACAGTGGAGACTGAGGAGATTTTATCTGTTCAGTTGTTCCCTCGGCCCCTCCCATGCCAATCAGATAGGCATCTATGAAGTTTCAAATCCTACACATATAATTAATTTAGGTCAGTGGTTAACAAACTTCCCACAAAACTACTCAATCAAAATAGAAAGAAGATCCCTTAGCAAGTTCCCTACTTATAAAAACTGGGCGGGGGGGGGGGGGGGGGGAGAGGGGGGGGGGGGGGGGGGGGGAGAGGGGGGGGGGGGGGGGGGGGGAGAGGGGGGGGGGGGGGGGGGGGGAGAGGGGGGGGGGGGGGGGGGGGGAGAGGGGGGGGGGGGGGGGGGGGGAGAGGGGGGGGGGGGGGGGGGGGGAGAGGGGGGGGGGGGGGGGGGGGGAGAGGGGGGGGGGGGGGGGGGGGGAGAGGGGGGGGGGGGGGGGGGGGGAGAGGGGGGGGGGGGGGGGGGGGGAGAGGGGGGGGGGGGGGGGGGGGGAGAGGGGGGGGGGGGGGGGGGGGGAGAGGGGGGGGGGGGGGGGGGGGGAGAGGGGGGGGGGGGGGGGGGGGGAGAGGGGGGGGGGGGGGGGGGGGGAGAGGGGGGGGGGGGGGGGGGGGGAGAGGGGGGGGGGGGGGGGGGGGGAGAGGGGGGGGGGGGGGGGGGGGGAGAGGGGGGGGGGGGGGGGGGGGGAGAGGGGGGGGGGGGGGGGGGGGGAGAGGGGGGGGGGGGGGGGGGGGGAGAGGGGGGGGGGGGGGGGGGGGGAGAAGATGTGAGGAGGGAGGTAACCTAGTAAAAAACTCACTTGCACAAACTGTGGAAGAAGATCTGTAAGCTCATCATCACTAATGGCCTCGATCCAGGTCACAGCTAGGGATCTCACTTCCTGATCAGCAAATCTAGAAGAATCCCACAAAATCAAGATTTGACAACAATTTCTTTCTAGCAAAGCTGTATTTTCTGAAAACGCAATCTCAATCTGTTCCTGACAAAGAATACTCAAATAGCTCTTTATTCAAAAGCAATGTATTACGTCTTTTATTTAGGAAAATAATTTTACTGAGCTATACAGATTCAATTTAGGGATTATTTAGAAATCTTAAATTTATAAAAATTAATTTTGGCCCACATCATAACATATATATTATTCTAAATTTACAACGTAACCCTTTGGAGATTAGGTTTAAATGACATGAAGTGCTTTTTTGATACTCTCAATGCAAAAGATTGTTTGTATAAAAAGCATATACACGTTTATATTGTACTGAATTGCTTTCATGTTAGAAAAAGGGGGATAGCCAATTAGCTCAGTTGGTTAGAGTGTGATACTGCTGATATCAAGATCCACAGTTCAATCCCTGTCTGGCCAGCAGCAAAAAAAGGGGGGAGGTGGGCGGACTGCTCCTATGTATAGTCTTTTCAGATAGTAAAAAATGTTGTGTACAACTCCTACAACAAGATACATTGCTGGAAAAATTGACAATAATAAAATAGAGCAAGTAAATATATTTGACTTACTTTGAATCGAGAAGCTCCAATGCAGTCAGAGGGTACAGTGGAGGCCACTGGTGAAGCAATGAGTAAGTTTTAGCAAGATTAACCCATTTCCAACTTGGGACACTTGCTAGTATTTTAGGAAGACAATTTGGATGTTTCAGGCAATAATAGCGTTTATCCCACAAAAGGGCTTTATCTTCTTTAGAAAGTCTGCATATATAATAGAATTGAATTACTTCTCAGTGATACATAATGGCATAGTTATAATCTCAATGATTAAAATACAGAAAAGAAATTTATTCATTTGGGACAGCCGCTTCATGGTAGAATCATTAATACTAATTTAAAATAGAAAACTGTAATGTACAGCAAACCTAATTTGGGGATGGAAAGAAATCATTCTTTCTGGATTAAAGAACTTTAGTTATGAAAATAAAGGATAATTCAGTATAATAAAAATTTATTAAGCTCTAACCAGATGCCAGGCACTAGAAATCAAAGTTGAAAAAGCATTATCCTACCCTACGAGATAGCAAGGATTTCATCCATTTCATACAAGTAAAATCGAATGCCATGCGAAAAACAAACGGATCTATAAAATTTTAGAAGATGATTATACAGTTCAATTGAGGAATATTCAAAATGAAAAGGTTCTGTTCAGATGTTTAAAAGCCATCATATTTCTATTCCAAAGAATTGCCTGTTCATACTGTCTCCTCTATTACTGAGCTGGTCTTTATCTTATTCATGTGAAAAGGTTCTTTATAGATTAAGGAAACCAATCTATTAATATTTATTGTAAATATAGCTCCCAGTCTGTTGTTTGCTTTTTGCTAAAGTAAAAAGTTTGACTTGTGCAAATTTCTAAACTTTCATGCAATCATACAGTCTTTTCATATAATAAAAAAAAATGTTAAATAGAAAACTTTCTACACCAAGAGTGCTGCTAAATCATGAACTAAATCAGGGCATTTAATATAAGCCGTTAACTTGAGCTTTACATTGTAGGAAATAACCAGGCAAAACAGAATAAATGGAGCTTACCCAAGTGATGAGTCTCTGTGAAGAATATCGAGAAGTTTCCCTTTTATATCATTCTCCAGTGTTTCTAAGTTGTGTTGCTGTATAATACTTCTGTCAACTTGAGGAGTTGTATAAATAATATCAAACGTAGGAGAAGGAAAATCAACCTTAAAAATTTAACAGAAGATGATCAAATTATAGTTCACATATCTGCAACATTAACTTCTTTGTCTTTAAGAAAACTGATTTTTCTTAGCAATCAGGGTGGATTTAGATTGAATATTAAATTAGTCCTTTCGTTGAAAGTGATTACCACTGTTGGTAATTCTGAATAGCAAATATATCTGTGATATTTCCTTGGGATGGGTACAGTGCATGTTTACTATTACTTCTCACAAACAGGAAACAGCTGCCCAGAAGCAGGCAAGCAACAGATCATGCCTGAGGTACTCGGTAGAACCAACGGCAGCCCCTCCCACCCAGAAGCAGGCAGGAAGCAGAGTATACCCAGGGTCCTAGGCAGAAGCTGAGGGGAGTCCCCTCTACCCAGAAGCAGACAAGCAGCAGAGCACCAACGTGGGAGCCAAGGGCAGCCCCCTCTGCCTGGAAGCAGGCAAGCAGCACAGCATGCCTAGGGTCCTAAGCAGGAGCCAAGGGCAGCATCCCCTGCCTGGAAGCAGGCAAGGAGCACACCCAAAACATCACTGCCATGTGGGTGGCCCACCACAGGCACTGCCACAAACACGCCTGCTGCAAAAGCAGCTCAATGCCACAGCAATACCCACAGCTACTGTGCAGGAGGCCAGTTGGACACTTGACCGCACTAACACAAGGAGAGTCATCAGCAGATAATGGAAAAAGAAGAAGACGTTCTCATTCCTCAAAGCCCATTCCAGAGTAACAGAAGCAACTGCTCTACCAGATGACCAGACATCAACATAGAGATACTAGAAATACAAAAACACCAGAAAATATGACACTACCACAAGGATATAGTAATTCTCAAATACCAGACGCTACAGAGCAGGAAACCCTTGAAATGACTGAAAAGAAATTCCAAGCAACAATCTTAAAGAAACTCATTGAGATATGAGAAGACTCAGTTAGACAATATAATGAAACAAGAAAAAAAAAATCCAGGATATGAAGGAGGAAATTTACAAAGTTTAACACCTTAAAAAAGAATGTAGCAGAGCTCATAGAACTGAAAGATTCACTCAATGAAGTAAAAAACACAACCAAGAGCTTAAACAGCAGGCTAGAACAAGCAGAAGAGAGAATTTCTGATCCTGAAGACTGTCTTTTCGAAACAACCTAGCTGGACAAAAAAAAGGAAAAAAGAATTTTAAAAAATGAAGAAAATCTAAGAGAGCTGGTAGACAACCTTAAGTGCGCAAACATTCAAGTCATGGGTGTTCCAGAAGGGGAGGAGAAAGGAAAAGGCATTGAAAACCTATTCAATGAAATAATAACAGAAAACTCCCCACATTTAGGGAGAGACATGGACCTTCAGATTCAGAAGGCTCAAAGATCCCCAGACAGATTCAACCTAAAAATATCTTCTGCAAGACACATTATGGTCAAACTAGCAAAGCTCAAAGACAAAGAGAGAATCTTAAGAGCAGCAAGAGAAAAGTGTCAAATCACCTATAAGGGAGTGCCTACCATATTAACAGCAGACTTCTCAAAAGAAATTCTACAAGTCAGAAGAAAATGGGATGATATACTTAAAATACTAAAAGAAAACAACTGCCCGCCAAGAATACTATACCCAGCAGGGCTACACTTCAGAAATGAGGGAGAAATAGTGTATTTTCCAAACAGACAAAAACTGCGGGAGTTCGCCACCACATGATCAGCCCTTCGAGAATTCCTCAAGGAAGTCCTGCATCAAGAATCTGAAAAATGATAATCACTCATCTTACTAGCTATAATTCTGTTCAAACTTTGTTTTTTCATAATTCCATCTTGGTAGGTGACGTGTTTCTAGGAATTTATTCATTTCATTTATATGACCTAATTTATTGATCAAAAATTATTCATAGTATTCTCTTATAACCTTTTGATTTCTGTAAATTTGTTTGTAATGACCACTTTCATTTTTGATTTTAGCTATTTGAGTCTTCTTTTTTTTTTCTTAGTCCATGTAGGTAAAGGTTTGTCAATTTTGTGGATCTCGTCAAAGTACCAACTTTTGGTTCCACTGATTTTCTCTATTTTTTTTCTATTTTCTGTTTCTTTTATCTGTGCTCTAATTTTATTATTTCCTTCCTTTGCTAGGTCTGAGCTTAGTTTGCTCTTCATTTTCTAGTTTCTTATGGAGCAAAAGTGATTGTTGATTTGAGATCTTTTTCATTAGTGTAAGTATCTACATTAAATAAATTTCCCTTTAAGCAAAAAAGAAAAGAAATGATTACTAAAAAGGCTTATTGACTTTTAAATTGAAGAGAGATCCTGAGAGTGAAACAAGATCAATTAGGCATCTTTAGTAACAACCCAAATCATGGTGCATACACGTATTTTTTATTAAGAAACTTAAACATCTCCATATGTCAAGAAGTATCATTACCTGTAGCACTATTCTTTCCATGACATATCCTTTTGTGGGGACTGTTCCAGGAATAGAATTTGTATGTGATGAAGTCCAAAGATAGAGAAGTTTAGTTCCACATGTTAAAAACCTTCATGAACGTAAAAAGAATACTGTAATTTTCATTTTAAAAATTAATTCAAAACTCACAATGCATGTAATGAATCTGAAATGTTAATATTTCATCCACTAAATAAAAAGAATATCATCATCTTTAAGAACGTATCAGAAGGAGTCACTCTCCATATTGTGCTGAGACTTTAGTAAATGTACTGAAGTGTGGGGTGGGATCAAAGAGAGGAAGACTGGAAGAATGTATCTTGGGAAGAATGGTGATGAGGACAGAACTCAAGAAGGATAATACTGAGAGTCACCCATCCTACAACAACTTCTATAAATAGGAAGGTGAAGGATAGTCTTTGAAGATTTTCTACAAAGGAATACATCTCAAGGTGGTGGTTTGGATTACAAAACGAATTCCTGACTTTTATCATCAGAACAAAAACATGTGGCCAAAAAAACTACTTTGCATTAAAGCACCAATCATTTGAGATGAGAAATTATATCTGTGCCCTAGACCAGGGGTCAGGAAATCTTTTCTGTAAAGGGCCAGATGGTAAATATTTTGAGCTTTGTGGGCCATACAGTCTCTGTTGCAAAGACTCAGCTCTGCTACTGTAGTGCCAAGTAGCATGAACAATACATAAATGAATGTGCATGCTATATTCTAACAAATTATATTTATAAAAACAGGCAATGGGTTCAAGTATGCTGACCCCTGCCCGAGACTACCAATTTATGGCCTACTTCAATTAAAACATTTATTCAAAGATATATCAATATCTTTACGCAGAAGAAATTTCTGAAGAATAATACAGGATATATAAAAGCAGAAAACCATAAACTTTGTCAAATCTTTCTTCATTTTATTTAAACAGCAAATACCCTTTCCAAAACTAGGCTCTAGTCTTAATAACGGCCTTTGAATCTTTGATATGTTATAATCTATCATTTCCTCCCCCCCAACTAGATTGTTTTAAGGCAAATCCCAGTCATATTTTACCTATAAATACTGTTATATATCTCTAAGCAACAAACACTTTTTCCTTTTAAAATAAGGACAGCACCATCATCCCTCCTAAAATAATTAACAATATTTAGTTAAGATTATAAAATAGGCAGTATTCAAATTTCCCTGATTGTCTAATAAATTATTTTTAATAGTTTTGTTCAAAACAGGATCCAAATAAGATCAAGCACTTGAATTTGGTTGACAGGTCTTTCCAAGCATCTTTTAATTCAGGTTCAGCAAACTCCAGCCTGCCACCTGGTTTTGTAAGTAAATTTTTATTAGACACAGCCATACTCATTCATTTACGTATTATCTATGATTGCTTTTGAATTTGCTTTATCATTTGTGACAGTCTAAATGGCCTATAAAAACCTAAACGATGGGACCTTAGTGTTACCAACTCCACACTCTAACCACCTGAGCCAACCAGCCAGCGCAAGATTCATCAGTTTATTCAGGTACTATTCAGTTTGAACTGATATAAAGTTCCAGAAAAGCTAATCACTTAAGGGTTTTAACAAGGCATGGATGATCACTGCTTAGATCCATGGTTCTCAATCAAAAGTAATTTTGCTCTCTGTAGACATTTCACAATGTATGGAGACATTTTTGGTTGTCAACTGAGGGATACTACTGGCATCTAGTGGGTAGAAGTGAGGGATGCTGCTAAACCTCCTACAATGCACAGAACAGCCTCCTGCAACAAAGAATCGCCTAGCCCCAAATGCCAATAGTATTGATGTGATGAAACCCTGTCATAAATCCATTATTTCAGTAGGGGTTGCAAAACTGTGATATTCTAATTCTATCATTCCTTCTGCATCTATTAGCTGGAATTTTTCTATAAAAAACTTTTTCACATCAATTATTTGGTAACCCTGAGATACAACTGTAAAGGAAAAGCAGGTTAAATGCTTAATTCTGTTTATGTACCAGGTTTCAGAATGAGTTAAAACTCATTTGTTACTGAGGCTGACCGAAATGCCTCTGGGTCATTTGGCTTCTATGATAGTGACTTCATCACTATATCAACTATACACAGGTTGTATGCATTGTTGAACCTTAAACAGAAATTTTTAAAAGAATTTCAAGACCAGGATTACTGATCACTATACCACAGTATGTTAAAACTGAACTAGATCATTAACACTTCGTTTTTCTACCTGTAATAATGGAAACTCATCACCCCTCCTAATTTCTCAGTATTTCTTGAATATGAAGTCCTAATATTACCTACGTCAACTGCACTACTTGGCAAAGTATCAAGCTTAATACCATCTATTCACTATTTTAACAGCAGAGGGTTGGATGCAAATTATTTAAATATCTAACAGAACCCAACTGTTCTTCACTTTATAGATTCCTGAATTATAAAACAATGTTATGTCATTCATCTAAAAAAACCATTTATTACTAGACAAGAAGAGTGACAAAAGGTGATGGTTCTCTAAGCAAAGACCCTTGGTGCTTTCAAGAGTGAGAAGGTTAGGGGCCGGCCTGTGGCTCACCTGGGAGAGTGTGGTGCTGATAACACCAAGGCCACGGGTTCAGATCCCTATATAAGGA